CATAGTCAACAACTTGTTCTAAAAGATGATCTGCAGTCCACCAACCTTCTTCATTTTTCCCTGGTCTTAAATATTTTCTGGCTTCTTTTGGTAAGTCTGGAAATTGTAAAATTTGACTTTCTGATAATTTAAGCCTACCAACTGTTTCTGTGAGAAATTCACTCACCATTATTGATTTACCTTGGCCTTTCCTTTGTAATGGTTGTTCTCCAAGAGGTGCCCATACTATTGGTCAATCATCATTTGCATAAAACAAACATTAATCATGAATTACAAATAAATGCAATTTTTCATTCTCTAATAAAATAGGATTCTTTTGTTCCATATTCTCACCCTCAAAGATTGGCATATATTTTTCATAAAATTGCATTTCCTCAAGGAACTTTTTCCTATATTCTATGACATCTTCACGTTCATGTCCATCATAATAAATGCCTTTTTTATGTGATTGAGGCTTTAAACCTAATTTATGTAACCAAATGCGAGCTGTTTGATAAGATATTGATTGTGTAGTCTCTATACTTGGAAATAATACCTTGTTAACAAAATCTTTGTATTTACAAGGTGTTACTTTATTGCCATTTGTTCTGACAAAATTTAATGATTGTTCAATCACATCTTCATCATCAATGAAAGACTTTGTTTTCTGATGGCAACCTTGTAATGATTTTGGCAGTGTACCATGGTTTAACCAATATGATGAACATTTTCTTATAACTCTAGATTTATATACTCCTTTTTCATAAATGTCACTGGCTGCTTTCATACTAGCATCAATGGAAGTCATGCCATAATTCTTCTTATAATTGAAATATATATATATAGCTCTATAACATAAATATTCATATGCAGAAATTTTTTTTAAATTACCTGACAAAATACGATTCAAATCCTGTAACTTTTCATCAAAATTAATATGATTCTCCATTTGGTCATCATTATCATCACTATCATCAACATCAGCATCAACATCAACATCAACATCAGCATCAACATCAACATCAACATCAACATCAACATCAACATCAACATCAACATCAACATCAACATCAACATCAACATTATCATCAACAGTATCAACATTAGCAATATTATCAACATTACCATCAACATCAACATCAACATCATCATCAACAGTATCAACATTAGCAATATTATCAACATTATCATCAACATTATCAACATTATCATTACCATCATCATCAAAGACATCATCATTATTGTCATCAACACTTACCTTTTTAACATTAATTGACTTAAAATAATTTGTAATAGAACTTGTTGATTTTGATGCATTAGTAAATGAGCCTGATGGCCCATACTTTCTATAATGGGTAGCTGTTGAATTGCCTACATAAGCTTTTTTGACATTTTTAACAGCATCATCATTCCATTCTAATTTAATGTTTGAAACAATATTATAACGAGCTCCTATAAATTCATCAGCAATTTCAGAACTATCAGAAGAATATTCTTCTGGAGCATAATCATCATCTTGATTATAACGAGCTTGCTTATTTTTATTGATAAAAATTCCTTTTCCACTACGATTTTGGCTATTTGAATGAGATTTTCTTTTCGATAATGTCATTTTTCAGAAAAGTTTTTTATAATAAACTATTTTATTTTATTAATTAAAAATTAATGAAATTTTGTAGAAATAATATGTGCTAATAAGATCATTTAAAAATGCAATAAAAAAAATTGTTACACGAAAACACTTATTCTCAATTTTGGATCTCTATATTAAAATGGTAAAACTTTGAAACAGTGTGGCACAAAAAATTTATATATAAAATAAAATTCTAAACCGTAAGTTTTAAAGTTAAGGTCATTAGCTATCAAAATTACGGTGTACTTTTTTTTTAAAATTTTTTTTGGGTGATCTACACCCTTTAAAAAAAGGCAACATTTGTTCCTATTATAGAGCTTCTGCACTGTAGAATTAATGATTATTTAAAATTTTTTTCGAATTGTATAATTGTAGATCATCTGTCAATCTTTGAATGAAATCTTTCCCTTGTTTAGAAACTAATCGAAGTTTTTTTATCAATAAAAAAATGTCAGTATTTGTAAAAGACAATACGAGTAAAACTACAATTTATGTTGGTAAGTTAAAAAAAATAAATTTAATAAGCAATATTATTCATTTACACTATTGTTATATTTTTAAGGTGGTTTAGATGATCAAGTTAACGAGGAAATACTTCATGCAGCTTTTATACCATTTGGTGACATTGTAGAAATACAAATTCCTCCAGATCCAGCATCACGTAACTAACTAACTAACTAAGTGCTTAATAACTTTTTTTTTATAAAAAAAAACAAGTTCTTGATTATTATTTTAAAATCAATGATGATTTGATCAAAGTACATCATTAACTTTTTTCTCCTCTTTCTTTGTTCTTCCTACCTCCCTCCAAAAAAAACCATAATAGATAATCAACATCGTGGATTTGGATTTATAGAATTTGAGGAAGCAGAAGATGCACAAGCTGCCATTGATAATATGAACCTTTCGGAACTTTATGGTAAAGTGATTAAAGTTAATTTGGCTAGACCAATGAAAATCAGAGAAGGAAGTACACGAGCAGGTAATAAATAATTATTATTATATATACAAGCATTTGTTAAAATTTTGGAATTATATGCATAAATTCACATATATCATAAAATAGTTTGGTCTGAAGATGCATGGCTGCAAAGATATGCACTAAAATCAACTGATCCAAATGTACCATATGGATCAGATGAAGAAGATACTCATTCCAATGATGGTGATAATGGTTCAGGATCACGAGATCAGTTGAAAAGTGGCAAATTTAATATTTAGTATTAGGAAGTTGGAAACATGGAATTTATCCAACAAATCAAATATATAGATAGATGGTCAGTGAGTGACTTAGACTTTGTTTGTTTGGTTGGTATTTCTAAACAAATAAATGTGTTGTTAACAAATAATAATAAAAATTAGTAAATTTATTTGATTTTTTGTTGACTTATTCTTTAATTTTATTATTATTGCCTATATGTTCCTCAAAAACCTTTTCCAGATTATATTTTTCAATTTGTTATAATCTTTAAGTACACTCATACCACATATATTCTATCATAAATAAATATATAAATTATAGTATATATTAATGACATATAATGCTATTATTCTAATCTGATTGATCAATCAATCAATTACCTTGAAAATCTCACAATGATTGTCAATTCAGGATTATTGAGATTGACTGTATGACCTTCACCAACAACTTTAGCAATCATGTTAATCAACTCTTTTTTATCTACCTTATTATTATTTCGAGTATTAGGTACTATTGCATACTAACATCACAATAAAATAAATATTTGATTTACTTGTACATACACACACATGCACACTACACAATTGAATGTGCATACCTGAAATTTTTGTGTATTATTAAAAATTGGATTTAATATTAATTGAGCCATGTTTTGTATATCATTGGTATTTGCATAACATGTTTGTGTTATTGGAATTAATCTTTAGGGAATCTTTAAAATGAAGAGATAGTTATTAATAATTTTTTGTTTTCAAATAATAAAATGTTTATTACCTAATTTTCTTTTCTCCCAAATTATTTAAATCATCCAAAATATCATAAACCAGATTTGTTTGATCAATTGATGGATTAGTTTTAATGAATACAATTATTTATGATTCAATAATAATAACAATGAATTATTTTTATCTAATGGTTATAATAATAGTAGCATTATTAAAGAATGTAATTAATACATACCACAATCAGTTCTAGTTTGAATTGAAGCAAAACTATTAGAAGAGTGTGGCTTTTTCATTTCTGAAAGTTCTTTTGCAATTACATCTTCAATGTCCAAATTATCATCATTATCATCACCAACACTCTTATTAGCAGAATCAGTAGTGTTTATAGCTTGCGATAGAAAAAATTTACCAGCATACTATTTAAAAAAATTTTTTGTTAAACTATTGGGAAACTCAAAAATAGTCTATTATGAGATAATAAATTGGTAGCATAAATACCTCATTGAACAAGTCATAACATTCTCTCACACATAGTGCTTCTTTATTTTTTACACAGTTTATAAAAACCCCAGACATATTTGGTTCAACTTTTGCAACATTTTTTTGTTGCTTGAAATAACTTTTTTCTGTTTATTATTATCATTATCATTATTGTTAGTAGTAAAATGAAATTACATAAATATAACATACATATTTTTTTTATTTATTTCTTTTACAAGCCTTTTTTGCTTTTGGAAATATTTAGATAATAGCTTACTGGAGAATCTGACATTTTTTCTGATTATTAGAAAATATAATGAATTAAATCATTATTTTAGAGAGATGGATTCGACCAATCAGAACACATCCGACAAATCCATGCATAAACTTTTATAAAAAAAAGACATCATCGATTCAAGAATTATCACGCGCGTCTTCAAAGTTCTACAGCAGTGAAGTTTAATTGTTATTTAGAACATCATATTTTCATTTGTACTAATATTCTTATCTCTAATGATGCTGAGTCGTAACACATCGTTAATGGTTTATTGGTAGCAAAATTACTAGGCGTGCCAGCTTTATCAACATATTGTTAATTATTTATCCCTTAAACGGTCATGAGGCCAAATATGGCCGCGAATTTATTTGAATGCTTTGAGTGTATCACTTCCTATATGAAAATGATCTTTGAGATTCGGCCCATAGACCTATAAAAAAAAAAAATTCGGCAGTTGTCCTTGTAGTTTTCGTAAAACCTTCTTTAAACGTTATCAAGAACAAGGGTTAAACTCTATAATTGTAAGATCCATTTATTAAAATTAATTAAATTAAAAGATAATAGATATTACTATAAAGATATTGAGATTTTTTTATGTTTTATTCTAATGATACCGGAAACGAATGTGAAGTGACAAAAATTGGATATTTTTATACATAACTATTAATATACATAGTGATGTGTATGCGGATGATGATTAATTAAATAAAAAGGAATTCAAAGATTTAGATAAACTTTAAAATGTAAAGGCTCGATAACCAAGCAAGCTGGAAGAAAAATCTTTCTGCAATTGTATTTGCAAACGCTCAATTAATAGCCTGTCAGAGTTTTTTTTTTTAGTAAAGGTTCAATCAGAGTTATCAATTTTATTGATTTTAATATAAACAATGGAAATTTAGTGTTAGATAAACTTTAAAATGTAAAGGCTCAGTAACCAAGCAAGCTGTGGGATAATTCTTCCATGATTGTATTTCCAAACACACATATCAGAGAGTTTTTTGTAAAGGTTCAAAGATATGATCAGTACGGACTGTGTTGCATAATACAAATTTGGTATACAAATACACCAATCAATTAACGAATTTTATGTGATAGTAAGGCACTGAATTTAACGACGACAATTATAAATCTTTTAATAAAAATTTATTTATTATTAAAATTCTAAATTTCAAGCATTGGCTGTGCAACAATAAAAGTTACACGGTAGTAAATATTAATAATATAATCTAAAAAAGAAAAAATGTAAAATACTAGTCTAGTCACACAGTTGAGAAATAATAGTTCTAATCTATGATGATGCATACTTTATTATTTTGAAATAAACAAATTAGTAAAAAATTCAAAAATTAAATGAAAATAAAGAATGACAAGTCTGGAAGAAATACCTTTTTCACAAAATCCTTGGCAGTTTTATCAAACTTTGACCTATTTGTATTATAAATCTCAGCAATAGGCCCTACTAAAGCATCGTCGGGATTAGGATGTTCAAGAAGACCAGCGATAGATTTAAGAACTGCACAATATAATAAATTATGTGTATAATGTGTATGTGATTGTTAGTGATGATAATGAAAAATAAAATGTAAATCATTATATTTATTATTTTACCATGTGTAACTTTTGTTGATGGCTTCCAGACATCAGTTTTCAATAAATCAACGCAAATTGAACCATCATCATCAATATTTGGATGGTATATTCTAGTAATAAATTTAACCTATAGGAATATAAAATAAACATATAAATAAGATAATTGTTGTTGTTACCATTGTTCATTAATCTGAAATATACAAAAAAACTTACTAATGGCGATTTAAATGGATAGTCGTGTGAAAATTCAATCCTAAGTTTAAAAACTCCACCTTTGTAAGGGCTAGAGGCCTATAAATTAACAATAAACAATAAATACATAATATATAAAAATACAAATATCTTTTACATACATATATATAGTAGATTACTTACAGGTCCTAAAATTGTGGCTATTAAAGAATAAATATTGATAAATGTAAGCAACGAAAATGAAATCGCAGAAGAAAAAAAAATAAAGAAAAAAAACATTACCAGTCCATTTGAATAAGTCGTCATCAGTAGGTCCTGCACTAATTCCAACAGGTGGATCTCTACTGATTTCTGCAAGTTCCTGTCAACAACAAAAATAAATTTAAATGCAAAGTTATAATTTATAATTTCGTCATTTAATAACATTTTATTACCTTTTGAATACGTTTAAGTGCCATTTTATTTGAATGTAGTGAAAAAATATTTTATAAAATGAAAATGTGGATTAAAAAGGTTTAAAAAAGTTAAAAAAGAAAAAAGGTAAATTTTTGTTTATTACACAAATAAAAGGTTGAAGTTTTCCGTGTCACGCATCTTATTTTTATTATAATAATAATATTAACAAGCGATCGAAAAAGGAAAGAGAAAAAGAGAGAGATTCATTATAGCTGAATTATATATATACATACACTGCTTGCAAACGGTATCAAGTACAAGTAAGGTTCCGATAGAATGAATCACTTGATCTGATCCTCGACTCGGGTTTGTAAATGCAACCATAAGTCCTTCTGAAAACTTTTTTGCTATTACTATAGCGCAGTCACCTAAAATCTACTTTTTTCTTGAAAATTCTTTTAATCCCTCCCAAAAATAAAAATAGAAATGTAAGACCAAAAATTATTAAAAGTAGAATTAAATGGCATATTAGGAAACTTCATGATTGCAATATATTTTGCCAGTTTTAGTATCCTATTTTCGACATTAAAACATTAATATTAAATTTTATTATGCAGATCTTTCCTCAATTAATATCCGAAATAGATCACATGACCTGATACGGTGTACAGTCAAAGCTCTCTCCAAGAACCAAACTTCTCTCTATAGCGAGCGAACTAAGATTTTGGTTCTGATTTTTTATTGATTAAATTTCTCTATATAAATAATTTTATAATTATATCCTATGTTCTATATAACGAACTGCTCTTGGAAAATCAAAATCAATATTAAATATTCTCTATACCGTGATTTGATGATCGAAAATATTTTTCATGCAGTGATAGTATATCACTTAAAAAACATTCTTTACCATGTTTTTTTCATATGACCTGAGGTCCTGTTATATAACATAGCACTCTACTCTTATTTTTCTTTGCCAAATCAAATGCAAACTTTGGTATCCGTTATAATTTCACGCCGTTAAGTTTAGATTTTTCCAAAAACAAAAAACAAACTTCTATATCACATAAAGATGCCTTGGCAATAGAAAAACCAACATATACTTTGAGTAAATCATTCATTGATTTAACAAATGTAAATGCATGTGAAAACACGCACATGATGATCGATACTTGAACGAACAAATTTTTTTTAGGGGACTTTTTTCTATGTGACGCAGTAAGTTAGTATACTTCTATCAGGGAAGATGATTTTATGCATAATCAGGTAAAATAGCAGAATAATGCATAATCCACCAAAATCACCAAATTTGAACAAACAAACCTTCTTCCTCTAATTAATAATAATTAATGATAATAATAGTAATTAATAATTACAACAGTGATTAATGGTAATTATAACACTTGTTGAAATTGCTTCTCTACTTAATTCTCAATATCAACATGGACTTATTAATATATATGTACATTTTATTGCAAACAATTACAAAATAAGCCACTTTTACTTTATGTTGAATTTAGACTCTAAATTTGTCAGCTTATATTAATAATAATAGGTCATCTAATTTTTTTGGTAGAGAATTAGAGAAGAAAAGATTAGGTTATTAGAATTTAATCCAGATGATTTTTATCCAATCTTTAGAAACTCTTTTGAAGTTGCATATAACAAATTTTTGATCACATTTCAAATCATCCTGGACAAGAACTTTTTAGGACATGTCAAATATTTAATTCTTCTTTCTTTCTTACACAAATATAGAAATACAAAATCCAAGCAATGAATTGATTATAGAATGAGGAATTTATTGTGGTCTTGTATACAATCCATCTTTGAGTGATCTCGATTTAAATCAATATTGATTAAGTATGTCACAATAATTACCACTATTCTCAAAAATTCATTTGGCTTCCCATATCAAGTTGCAGTGTGGAGAGAAGTTTTTCTATGTATAATTCTCTTTTGGATAGTGATTGCCAGAATTTATCTATCAATTGATTCATTAAAGAAATTAAATATGATGTATCTTAAATATAATCAAATAAATTTTTTATATCACTGCATAATTTGCGCATAATTTACTTTTATTGCCGCATAAAATCATCGTCCTTGACTTCTATTAAAAAACACGTGCAGAAACTAGACATCGTGGCTATAAACAAAATCTGGTTTGAATCCGGTTACTATAATCTATTTAATTAAATAAGATCAGAGGTTGATTCCATTTTGCGAAGCAAATGGTTACACGCTAGTGATAATAATAATAACAATAATAATTTCATGGAAAACCAGTTATCGTTACCTAAATAAAGTATTGTTATTTATTTCGGGTCTGCATACAATAAGAATTTTCCCGGATCAACATTCTAAAATTTTTATTTTCGACCCTTAAAAGTTCTAACTACAGAAATCTAAACTCTAAAACTCGAATTAATTTTTAATAAAACGTAATAAATAATCAATTATTTATAGAACGCAAGATGTATCAATCATCATCTAATTTCGTACTTAAATGGAAAGCTTATTAAAACTTTTCTCAATTCAATCATTAAAAATCCACAGAACCTTGAAGATATAAATAATATGGTTTGTAAAGTCAATAAAGTAATAATTCACACTTGCCACTTTATTAAATATTATTTGCTGTTTGTTTCATAGCGAGCAAAAATATATAAAGGATAACGAAAGATCAAACTACATGACTCATTTCGACTACATATGGAAGATACCGGTAAATTATGGCAGATATTCAATTATGAATGTAAACTCGACAATCAAGTATTTTTAAACATTGATTGCTTGCGTCCTACTTATTATCATGTTAATTCTGATTAATAAAAAGTTCAAACCCAAATAGATAGCTCAATTTAGAAAAAAATTCCTAAAATCAACCTGTGATCATGAATATATTCCATTCAAGACAAATATTATTTCCTTTTAGCGAATACAAAATGATTCCATATCCATTAAGATATTAGGATTTTTCCCATTCAACAAGAGGAGATCCAAGACCTAAAAGATTTTTTAAATTTCACAACAAAGAAAAAAAAATTAGTATGGAAAACAACAACGGTTACGAATTCAATTATATATTGAATACTGATGGAATGTGTGCCTCTCTTCGCTTTGCTAACTAAAAATAAAGAAAAAGAAAGAAGCAATATTGAATATGTTGTTGGCCATAAATGATCGTCTAATGTCATAATCGGTTTTCATTATTATAGTTGCCAAAGCAATTAAGTCAAATGGCATATTAATATATATAGTTATTTTGTGTTCATTCATATAAAGAACATTGATAATCATCTTTCCTCCAAAAATAATTATAACAACTAGAGATATATTGAATAAAATGTAGATTTTCTTAAAACGTGTCCAAACAAGAATGGCTTTCTCTGGTTGTATGGATGAAGAAGTTTACATTATTAGATATACTGCAATCAAAAGAGAAAACAAACATCATCAAAAAATTTTAAAAAAATAATCTCAAGTGTAAACTTTTATTAAAGAAAAATATCAAGCCTATCAATTACTTTTTAGAAAATTAAAGTGGCATAGAGATGTGTTAATTAAAGATAGCTCCTCAATTAATCACGGCATGTAAAAATTGAATCAGCAAAGAAGCGAGGCTAAATTAATGCAAACTTTCAAAAGTTATAATGATTATGGCCATGAAACAATGATATATTTGCCTCCTTCTAAAGTGGCTTTAGAAAATTTACTTGAAAGGAAACAAGTTTGATGATGTAAAGTACATGGGCTTTCTCCGTTGCACAAACGCTTTAGAAGAACATGGTACAAAAAAAAAAATATTAAGCCCTTGATTGGTCCTTAATACTAATACTAATACTGTTATTTATATTATTATTATATTTAACCTCCGTAACACAGGATCTGGGCCTAGTACTCTATATATATAGAAGAAAAAAAAGAACCCGAAAGTTAAAATAAGTAAATATCATTCTTGATATCACATGACCATGAAAACACAACTATGACATGGGATTTACAACAACAAACTCAGCCATTATTTACATCATGACTTCACTATTTAAAAATATCAAGCAATGATTTTTAAAAGGGTTGAATTGTGTGAGCGCGAGAGTTTGACAAACTTCTTTTTTTAGTATCATCTCGCAAACAATATCAATGATATAAATACTGAATAGATTTTATTTTCCCCTGACATCTTTCTTTCCCTTCTTTTTAAGAAGAAAATCAATCCAAAATTTATTTTTTTGTTAAAATTATTTATTTGATTAATCGAAAGATGAAGAGGAAGAAGATGATAATAGCAATATTTATAAAATTGTTGGTTATATTTTCTTTGGCTATTTTAATATTTATCAACTTTGTGATAAACTTGCCAATTAATAAAAATCACCTCATTTTATTAGACGCAGGTAATCAATCAATCAATCAATCAATCAATCAATCACCATCACTACTACTGTTATGTATTTTAATTTTTTTTATTTATTATTTATTGATTAGAAATTGATAAAGATCACGATCCTCATTATTATCATTATTTTAAATACAACCAACAATATTTAAAAAATCAAAATAAATTAAGAGCTGATGAAATTTTGGTGACTATTTTAATTAATTAATTAATTCCTTAGATTTTTCTGATTTTTTGATTTCTGATTTTTCTGATTTTTCACAATAGAAGACAAGTCATAAATCAAATCCATATGGTCATTATCAAATCCATGATAAAAAATTTTGAATTTCAAAAAACTTGTAAATAATAACACAATTTATAAATATTTAGTAAATATCTCCTAGTAAATATAAAATTTTAAAAAAAAATTTTCAGATTTCCCATCACATCACGAGGTGTGATGTTGTTAAAAAACCAATGTTCAGTATTGCGTATTGCGAGTTGTGAGTCGCAAATAACTCATGCTTACTATTACGTTTCATCCAAATTATCCATAACCAGTATAACTACAATACCTCTCTAAAAGAAAAGAAATAAAAGAAATAAAGAAAAATAATTATAGGATTAGTATAAAGACTAGCCTTTTTTATTTCTTCACCGTCGCAAAAGTTTCTTTATCACTTCACTTGTTTTATAATTCTAATTCGCGATATTATTTATATATTTCATTTGTTAATTTCATGAATTTGTTAGCGCTAAACGAGTTACTCAGAATCAGAGGTTTCTTTACCATTACCACAACCAATAAATAACAGTGGTGTTAATAGCAATAGCAGTATGCTGTGATAGGAAGAAAAGAAAATAGCAGATGTGTGATTCTACCACTACAACAACTAATAAGTCATGGCGTTATTACTAAGAAGGTCAAGAGAAACGAAAAGAAAAGATCTTAACATAAAAAATGTAATTTTTTTGTGAACAACCAAACTAGCTCGCATTGAAGCATATTTGTTATAAAAAAATCCTCCACGGAATATATTGACAATGAATGATACGAGAGAGTTGGAGAATGAAACATGAATATGTGTGGCTTAAAATATATTAATATAAATGGCAAAACAATTTTTTACTCAAAAAACAAATATTTTTCTAGGAAATTACTTAATAAATAGAAAAGAAAGAGTTTTAAAGAACATTAGAAGCTGAAGCAACTTGGCATTTGGACAAAGAAAATTTAGCAATTTATTGTATCCCGTGTGAGAGAGAAACATATAGTGAAAATGCTACATGAGGCATACTGCAACAAGCCCAAACAGTGAGGATTTTTACTACAGAAGATCACGTGGTACACAAATTTAGCATTGCTTTATTTGTTATTTGGCTGTATTTTATATTTCTTGTTTTATGTTTTTGTTTTTTTAACCCACATACAGGATAATTCGGATCCCCTACATAAATTACAAACAGCTATTTCATGAGTTATTTATACAACTGTTCTAATCAAGTGTTTCAGTGTTTATCTATTTATTATTTATTTATTTTTAACCAATTCACCTGTGTGGCAACAAACCTATTCATTAAATCATTACATTTTACAACTTTAACAATTAACTCCAAAGTGACTTACTTGGTTATTGTGTTCATTGTGAGTAACTGGGTTATTAAATCTTTTTAATTCTGGTTGTGTGATGATCTTTATATTAATTGCAATCAATATAATTTTCTTCATTGATAATATTATTTCCGCCAGGGTTAACATGATGTACCAGCGAGATCAATGAACTTTAGTCAAATTTATTGATCCTTTCAAAATTTCATAATGGACCAAAGCTGTCCAATATTTTATTGGCCATGTATTAATGGAATACAATGGACTCATGTATAAAATTTAGTTGCAGAAAATGTGGAGCATACCTAGAATTTCCTTCCTTGAAATTTTAGGCGCGCATTGGTTGACTTTTGTATCAATTTAATTCATTCGCGAAAATTAATTTCTTTCTTCAAAAAGAAATTTTTCCCTTGTCAAATTTTTCTTCAGATAAAAATCTTAAAATATTTAAAATGACTGGAATTAAAAAAAGAACTCAGCACTTAAATAATAAAATTTCTGTACAGTCAAACAAAAAAAAAATAGAAGATAGTAAAATTAAGTGAGAAATTGTTAATCATTATTTAATTTGAAAAATAAATAACTTAAATATTTCTTTTTTTAGGGACAATAGTTATTCTGCTAATTCTAAAGAAGACTTTGAAGAACTTGAAAATATAATAGTGAATCTTTATTTCCATTACTAACTAATAATATGAAAAATTGTAAGGCCAAAAGGCCATTAATCTATCATGAAAATTCGAAGAGCATACAAAAAAATATCAGCAAAAGAAATATCAATACTAATACAAATGGTCAAACTCAATATTTTTTTGTCGTGTGTGATCTGCGGATCTATAAATCTCATTATTGAATACACCTTTGCCTCATTTGATTTGGTTTTTTCTTGTTTAGGAATCACTTTAACCACTCGATGTAAATTTCTTTGAATAGAGTCATCGAAAATTTTGGACCGCCTTTTATTGGCCATAAAGTTTTTAAATTCCAGTTATTTTTATCAAATAGCTCTATCAAGTCCTTTTTCAGTATTTTTGAGTGGATATATATTGTCTTTAAACTTTCCATATCAGAAGCTATATAATTTTAAAGTGATGTTAAAAATAAATAAATCATTTTGTTATTGCTAAATAAACAATCTTCCACAAAAAATAAATAAAAATAAAAACAAGAGAATTTATTTAGCGCAAAATTTTTGTGACACACACAGCCCACATTCTGTATGTATGAGAATTGCGAATCGCAAATTGTCCACGAACTTTTGGTAAACTGAATTTTTGGAAAGGGCAAGTGCGAAATTGAAATGTATAAACATTGTAGCAAACAAATATTTTTTGTGTTGACACAATTAGTGATCACAATCATCGTATTCATGAATGTTCATTACCCAAGTTTTCATGCAACTTTAGCAAAAAACTTTATCAAATTCAGATGTTACCTCAATTATAATAATCCGGGTCCTGGTGGGATATATAACCGAGGAGTAAAATATAATAATAGTAATTATTTCGTGTGTGCCTAGAGATGTGCCATACGCACGATGCGATGCACATTGGAAGTCATAACTGCTATCCTGGATTCTCCACTAGTGATCTCCCACTTGGGTGGGTGTTTAAAATCTAGAAAAAGATGGATAGACAATTAATCGAGAGACATTAAAAAATTGCAAATGTATATTTAAGTGGATTGCATTCGCACACATTATTAAAGAAAAAAATTGTCCACTAATAAAAATTTGGATACACTCTGAAAAACTTTGAAAAGTATTAATAAAGTCCTATAAATGTAAATATTGCGATTATAAATCAAATCAAATTAGTATGGTGCAAGTCACCTAGTCCCGCAACTTGCTGCGCCTCGTGGCCAATTTTGGGAAAAATCATCAAAACTCA